AATGAAAGAATGAATCGATAACTCTGGTGTTTTTCTGCTTTAAGTCAGGCTTCACATCAAACTTCAAAATTACAGGTTATAATAAATACTGTGAACAATAAGAATGATGAATTAAGGAGGGTAGAGTTAGTGGCTGACATTTATTTTAATGATTAAAACAATTTTTATACATAAATATATATATATTACAAAAGCGAGTGAGTTTTATTATTAATCAGAATAATCTTCTTCAGACGTAGAGAAACGAGTAAACCAATCATACAAGTTCCTTATACTGCATAAACAGATTCTTAATCGACGTTAGATTAATTCAGTGTTGTCATTCCCTAATTTGTATAATAAATAAACTGTCAGTATGATTTAAAATTTTTCAGATAAGATTTTCTATCTGTAGTCATTAATTAATAAGCCGGAAAGGAATTACATTGAAATGATAAATCCATCATTGTTAAACCATCATTATAAACCTAGAACAGCTGAGCAGCATTTTCGTTCGTAATTGTAATTGAAAAATCGTACATAGTACACATCCACAACCTGTGCTCACGGGAAACAAACTTAAGACATTCAGTCACGTGTGCTGACGCCTAACCTCTAGACCACTGAGCTGACAAGGACGGTGTTATTGTTTAACTTTGACCAATCCAAGGTATTACGCAATTGTCTTCAGTAGATGATTGCCTACACCCAACAGGGTTGAACTCCACTGATCACGACTTCGCATTAGAACTCCATGAATTTCCTGATGAAGCTGGTCATTAGTGAGCACATTTAAATGATTTTCATTGCACAGTTGTGAAGATGGTTGAGTTTCATTGGAACAATGAAATGAATTAGTTAAAATTATATATTTGTTAAAAATGTGTTGTTCAATCATTAAAAATGGAGAATACTTAACTTATTTGGACATATCATGATCATAGTTTGTTCATATCGGGTTTATTTGATACTTTGAATCGGCTGGTCGGTAATCGTTAGCAATAGGAATGAACATTGAACGTTCACCTAGAAATTGTGATATTCGTATTGATTATAATCAACCTATCAATGATTTTTCTTTGAACTAGAGATAGATATAAAAGCAAAGTATTCTAAGCTTTCTGCAAAGTTCTTTTATTCACTGGTTTATGTTTGTTCGAATAATAATTGAATTTCATGCGAAAATTTCAAACCGTTTTTAAAATCAAGATAGAAAATTCAATATGAACAAGTAAAATATTGAAATGATTAATTGATAAATCGATTTCAAATAAGACAATATTCATGTTAACTTTTTAATAATCAAACGTTTACAACAGGGATAAACTTTTGAATATTTTGAAAGATATTAGTTTTCTCTTCTGTATAACTGAACAGATTTATTGTTCAGTAAAAAAGAAAATATGCTTGGGATATTTTAGTATCATAAAGGTATTTTGTTAATAAGAAAAAAAATGGGAAAATATGATACACTAAATGAATTTTCGAATTAGTTTGAAAATGAGAAAAAAGTTGTTATGCTTGCTCCCAGTTGATATGCTTGAACTATTACGAGTTAACCTTAGTCAGTAAACGAGAGCGAAAACCAATGATCCAGTAACATGATAGGCTACACTGATCCAAGCGTCCCAATGCTTTACTAAGTAGAGGAAGAAGTATTGATAAGGAGTAGATAGTTTATTCTACTAGCACTCAAAAAATATGAGGTTCCCAAGCACACACATAGAGTTTATTTATACATGATAAGAACGTCCTTGGGAGAGCCACAAATATAGCGTACTAAAATAATACATCAACCAATAGCAGTCAAGGATTTCCTCGGGGGGTGAGTGAAATCTGAAGGTCAACTGATCAGCCAATGCTCGAAAACATAAAATCCAAAATTAGGGCCTTTATCAAATGTGTTCTGTGTCCCTAACAAAGACACCACTATTAAGCACTGTGAATCTTTTTTTTCTGATTGTAGAGGTTTGTGGGCGAGGTCGCAGGATTCCAGGTGAAAATCCGTGACCAGTGGAGTTTAGACAAATCGGGTACGAAACAGATAGTAATGGACATTGGTCTGTCTGTGTCGTAAATCGATTACGGTTACAGTTTAAGTATTAAAACTTTAAGCCTGTAAGTAAATTCACTTAATAAAACCATCATTCTAAATACTTGACAGAGCTAAAAACCTTGATTAAACGGTTAGGTTTGTAATGGTTTATGATTCTCTAGCATCATTAAGCTCTCTCTACCCTTGCGTCCAATAATCAGATCCAGCCTCATTACTATATTTTTATTTCAGATAGACATAGTTTATTTACAAACAAACCAGACCGCATTATGCCATCAAATATAGGATATCAGTTGTAAGTGATCAGGTCAAAATGCAACTGTGAATAAGAAAAACTGTAAACAATAAATTTAGAATGAATTAAAGAATAATGAACCATACAAAGGTAGTTAGTGGATCATTTGGAAACTTATGATAAAAGGATTATAATTAAATAATCCAGTTAACCGATAGTTGTACATAAAGAATATATGCAATAATCATGTACAAGTCAGTTCTTGAGATCCTCAAGTGCTCTACCCAGCTGTTTCGCTGTTCTTCAATGTTGGTGGTTAGTGTGACTTTCTTGCTTTTCACTAGGCGTCCTGGTTTACGACAATTTCCAGTGCGCTTCTTCATGGAATCATAGAGTTTTCTTATGTTTCCTTGTCTTCCAGTTTCTTCTAATGTTATAGTTAGATCTTCCACATTCTTACGTTTGTTGGCTCTGATCCTCCTCTTCACTTTCTTGTTTGCTTCCGTGTACCCAGCTTGTGCCTTGGCTTTCTCTGCTCTTGTTCGGCTGATGGTGATTTCTGCCTTCTTGTTCCTCCCCTCATGAATCTAATTAAGAGCACTTACAGTGATCCATTCTTTGTGATGGTGCTTCTTGTGGCCAAGAATATCCTGATATGTTGAAATGATTGCCCCCTTGACCTCTTTCCAATTGCTCCTCATGGTTGTTTCCTCTCCATTGGGTAGATCGAGCAAAGCGTGGAACCTATTGCTGA